GGGGGAGCGGCGGCGGGGGCGCCGCGGGGGTGGCGGTGCTCCCGCTCACGGGCGGCGCCTGAAAGCAGTGGAGACACAGCAGACGCACGGCTAAGTGGACGTCCAGAGGAACCGTGCGGGGCCCGGAGGGTCTCCGCGTCGCTGCTCGGTGGCCCCCCGCACGCTGACAGACCTCCGAGGCATTGCATAGGCGCTCCCAGGCCCGCGATTACCTAGAAAGGCGGCTCGAAATTTGCCCGAAAGCTTCACACACACCTAAACCCCGGGGGACGGGGGCTACGAGGAGCGTGGGGGATGCGGGGTGGACGGTGCAGGCAGAAGAAAGACAGCTCCTGCCGCGCGAAGGAACGGGAGGTCCCCGCAAGGATCCACACGTTCCTTGGTCCCCAGCGTGGCCGAGAGACGAGCCGAGCCCACAACGTGCTGGCACGTGAGCGCCCGGGGCTGGAATAGCAATGCTAACGGAAACTTGAATTAGGAATACAGTCGACAAAGGTCAGTTTCTCGATGCTTAACCCTACGGGTTGTCTGTAATGGAAGTGTAATGTCTCTTCCACAAGAGTGCCTGGGGAGGGGCCAGTGTCAGCTGAGGCCCCTGGGGTGCAGCTGAGAGCCAGGACTTGGGTGAGGAGGCCTGGATTCTGGACCTAGCCCTGCACTACTCCCGGGACAGAGCCTATGCCTAGGACTTTATAGATTCAATAATGAGAATAATAACTTATAGGCCAAGGAAATGGGCCAATTTATGAAATCATCTGAATAATTCAAGTGGAACAAGCACACCTGGAAAAAAAAACAAACCAGGAATTGAAAGAAAACTAGGGCCGGCCTGTGGCTCACTTGGGAGACTGTGGTGCTGATAACACCAAGGCCACAGGTTTGGATCCCATACAGGGATGGCCGGTTAGCTCACTTCGGAGAATGTGGTGCTGACAACACCAAGTCAAGGGTTAAGATCCCCTTACCAGTCATCTTTTAAAAAAAAAAAAGAAAGAAAGAAAATTACTCCTTCACCATATAACTGCCTTGGTTTTCATTTCCTGATTAACAGAAAACATGCCTCAAAGAGTGATCTATTTTCCCATCCCGAATATTCTTCCTCTCCTCTTCTTGCATTCATCTGTCCAATCCACCCCTCTCTCTGCACTTCCTGAGAGTTTCAAGTCCAGTAGACTAGAATTTCGGGATGAAGACCTGTATGCAGAACATGAGCATTGAGCCTGACAATCACTCAGGAGAACACTGAGCTCTCAAAGCTCAAGTGAACAGACCAGGTGCTGAACATGGAAGAGGGGCTGGCGAGGGTCACCTTCCTTGGAGTCACTCCCCAGGGTCCCCACTCAGGCCAAAACCAAGCAACTACAATTACCCCGTTAAACCAGAGCTCGGATCCTGATTTGCCTGGATAAAAAACCTAGGAACCAGAGAGGGTTATTGGTTATCTTCCTGCCTCCAGGCACCTCTGGACTCCCTGACAGTTGAGGGAAAAAGCTTTTATTGTAATATCCAATATTCCAACGGTCTGTTTTCTTCTTCCCAGGGGGGTGGGGTGGGGTTGAGAGACAAGTGGCATGGCCTCTGAGGACACTTGTGAGATCTGACTACCTTCCCAAAGCTGTAGTAGGGCGGCTTCTCACGAACGGTGCGCTCCCGGTGAAGGCACTGCGGGCAGAAGGGCTCTTTGTACAGAATTACTTTGCGTTTGAGAGTTGCATGATCGGCCCACTTTGTTATTTCCCTGTGTATTTTGTGTTACATGATACTCAAATGAACCCTGGCCAAACAGATCGTGGGTTTTGAAATTCCCAATAGTTAGTAAGAGTAACACAGCCTTATACACACATAGTGGGATGAGGCCAATTTGCGACTTGAACAAGGACTCACAGTGACTGGACACTTGCCCTGAGAGCATGGTCATTTCCACTCATTGGCATAATGACTGGCATAGCAGAGAAGTGCAGAGGAAAGGTTTGAAATGAGAAGAACTGGGTTCAGATAGCATCTCATCATTCGAGTGCCAGCTGCTGGGATCACAAAGGTCAATAAGAAAAAACCTACCCTGGTGGATCGTATTTCCAGCTCTACCACTTGTTGACAGTGCAATTTGGGTAAGTTACTCAGTGTCTCTGAGCCTTACCCATCACAAAGTGGGTATAATCCTACTCTAGAGGGACGTTGTGAGGATTCGGAGAGGTAAGTATGTGAAAACACATGCTAAGTGCCTAGTACATGCTAGTTGGGACTTAATCAGAATCTGAGATAGTTACCCAAAGAGATTTAGAGACATCTGTTCCCAACACGTCTCACTGCCTAGGACTCAAGACTGAGAAAGAAATGACTGCAGTGGCCCAGGGAAAGGAAGAAACATTTAAAATAAGCCATGAGTGTATGGAGAGGAAAAGAGAAAACTGGGAGGGAGCAGGAGCAGGCAGCTGGCACACAGGAACTGGGACAGTCTCTTTCTGCCTCCACTGATAAGAAGAGAGACTCTCCAGTTATGGGTTGAACTGTGTCCCCTACCCCCATTCACATGTTGAAATTCTAACTCCCAATACCTCAGAACGTGACCTTATTTGGAAGTAGTATTGTTGCAGATGTAATTAGTTAAGATGAAGTCATACTGGAGTAGGTTGGGCTCCCAATCCAATATGACTGATGTCCTTATAAAAAGGGGAAATTTGGATGAAGAGGCAGACACGCACACAGGGAGAACACCATGTGAAGACTGGAGTTACTCTGCTGCAAGCCAAGGAACTGCCAGAAGCCAGGAGAGGGGCCTGGAGTAGATCCTTCCCCAGTGCCTTCAGAGGGAGCCTGGCCCTACTAATGCCTTGATCTCAGACTTCCAGCCTCCAGAAGTGTGAGACGATCAATTTCTGTTTAAGCCACTCAGTTTGTGGAACTTTGTTAGGGCAGTCCTAGCAAACTACTATACACCCTAAATGGGGCTTATACCCATGGATTCAACCCCTGTGTTCAGGATCTATGAATAGCCTGGTGAGGGAAGTTACCACTGTACTGCACTAGTGAGCTGACTTTTTCACTAAATATCACCACTAGCATTCTGTAAATCTTGAGATTTAGTGATCCTGGTGTGTTCTAGGACTGCAGAAGAGAACACCAAGTGAGAGGCTTAAGTGTCTTTCCTGGGGTGGGGGAGAGTCTCAGAAAAATAGAATAGGTCATTCTGTTTTCACTTTCCTAAGGGATATTTCCCATACGTCCCGTGGCAGTATTTGAACCACATGAGTTGTCACCTATTCATACACTGTTTTGTCTCATTCCCTAATTGTTTGGGGTCTAGGTCTTTCCATATAGATAACATAACAAAAAGTAAAATTTATTGAGTGCTTACTTTATGCCAGCCAAGCACAATCTAAGCACTATGCATGCATTATGTTGTTTAATACTCACAAGAAATCTATGATACAGGTTTTAAATTGAGACTGGGAAAGATTAAATAATTTGTCCAAGGTCCAGCCAGCAAAGGTAAACCACAAAAATAACTTGTCCATTTCAGCCTCAGCTGAGAATGGAAAAAAAGCGTAATAGTAAAAAAGCTTCCTCTAAGAATTTACAACTACTCCTCTGTCCTTGTATTGAGCTTACAGTACCTAGATAGTTCAGGAAAACCCAAGCTGAAAAATTAACCTTAAATGGTACCAGGTTGATGACATCCTTAGGGATCTGGAAGCAGCAAATGGACATCCTCAACCTGGGCCCACCAGGAATCCTAAAGAGCTCAGGCAAACAGAAACTCACATTTAAGAATGACTAAGTCATCAGCCCATTTCACATAGACAAGAAAGAAAAAAGAAAAAAAAGAAGTCACAGGAAGCAAGTCACCAAAACCAAGAGTCAGCA